TCCCTCCCGCGCCCCGCAGAAAGGAACCGCGCCTGGCTCCCTGCGCTGCTGCTGCTGCGTGCCCAGCACCCGGGCCCGGGACCGCACCGAGTCCAGAACCGCAGCTGTTCCGCGCGCTGACACTGTGCAGAAGGGGACCGGGGAGGAGCAAGGCTGAAAAGGTCAGGTAGCGGTCGGTTGAAGTTCAGGGAAAGGATTCCTGGTTCCACTTACTACGTAACTTGGGCAGTGAACCGCTCTAAAAACTTGATTTCTTATAACAGCAATTACTTTTTTGCCGCTTGTCGTGAGGGTTATATAAAGGAATTCACGGATAGTATTCAGTTCTGCCATGTAGTCTGCTCAGTCTGTTAGGAGCTAATACCTGAGGGGAAATGGAGAATGAGGAACTCGAATTTTGCATAACGGCTTAGTATCTCCACATTTGCGGTTCTACCCTGGGCTTGTCAGAATGAGCAGGTGCAAGGAGAGCTTGGCCGCAAAACTCCAGTGTTGCCCAGGTCAGACACTTCCGGTAGCCTGCTGGTCACAGCACAGGTCTGATGCCACGGACCGGAAGGAGGCCTCAGACATTTCCCAGAGACAGCAGCAAGAATTTGAATTCAGGGCTGTCTTGAGCTCTGCCTTAAGTTTGTGGAATGGTATGAGAAAAACCGCATTTAATGTAAGGATAAGATTTAATTTTCCATGACTAATTCCATGATTAGTAACACAAGGTATAAAATATCAATTACTTATATTTGCATTTTCTGATTCTCCCTAGAGTAATCAAGTCAGAGGATTATATGATTTTTATCTGCCCAGAGAAGAACTATGGATCTACAACATGGAGACTGGAAGATGGTAACTGAGTATTATGGGGCCAACAAATTCTATTAAGATCGCAAAGCGTGAAGGGAGGGCAGGGACAAGGGGAAAAAATGAGAACCAAGATCTGTCATGTAAGGGTAGGAGATCCCAGCGATGCATGTAGCTGTGCTGTGTACCTAGGATGTACCAATAAACTCAATGAGGGGAAAAAAAGATTGCAAAGCAAAAGTAAAGTTAACCCTAGTGAATAAAAAGTTGAATATGCTGTTACCTGTGCATTTGCAGTGTTCTAGTTTAGATTACCTCTTGTTTTTTTTAAGACAGTATCTCTGTGGGAATAGTTTAGGAATTACTACTTTTATGACCTTAGGAGAAATTCCTATTCGGGGCTCTATAAGGACCAAGTGGTGGATGGAGGCTTGCTATCCTGGGATGGAACGACCCAATTCCCACAGGCTTTTAAAAGATCATGAGCCTTCTCTTCCGTAGTACCTTGGATGAGGAGGGTTCCGGTGTGTTAGAGTGTCAGCGTTCAGCTGGGGGCAGTGGTGCGTGCCTGTAATCCAAGCTCCAGAGAGACAGGCAGGACGACTGCAGATTAGAAACCCCTGTGGACAGCTGAGCACGACCTCATCCATGTCGGCTGCGTGCCGGCGCTGGGACTACCTGACGCCCACAGCTTATCGGGGGAGAGGGTCATCTTGGCCCACTGTTTCAGTCCAAAGTAGGCTGGCTCTGAGCACAACCCCTGGCAGCCAGGAAGCAGCAAAGGGGAGGTGCCAGGGTGGAAACAGACATCCTCCCAAATCACACCAATTGATCTGCCCCTTCCGGGACTCCACTCCAGATGTGTGACTTTGGGGGAACCTTTTAGATCAAATCATAACACTCTCTCAAAAACAGGCTGGGCATGGAGCTTAGCACTCCCTAGGTTCAAGCCCCAGTAATGAGAAAGAGAAAAAAAGTTAAGATTTTTATCTGCTGGCAATGTAGCTCAGTGGCAGAAAAATCACCTAGCACATGAGGCCCTGGCTTGCATCTCAGCACCAGAAAAAATATATAGTATGTTCTGTTTAAAAACCATACTGAGAATGGTGGCACATGCCTGCAATCCCAACAGTTCAGAGGCTGAGGCAGGAATATTGAGGCCAGCCTGAACTACATAGTGAGACCATCTCAAAAAATAAAAGTCAAAACGAAGGCCGGGAATTTAGCACAGTGGTTTCACTTTCTGCCTTGCAAGTGCAAGGGCCTGAGTTCGATCCCTAGTACCAAAAAATAAAAAAATAAATACGAATGTAAAATTATTTTATATAAACTGAGCATAATCTGAAAGGATATTTTGCCAGTCTTGGGACAATGATAGTCAAGAACGTGTCAATAGTAAAATTTTAAGTGTTTTCATAATGCCAGGTTAGCTGTGTTTACAGATTCATAAAGCAGTTTTCCCCAAGGTTTCCTGGGAACTGTATTTCAATATTTAACTTATTATATGATCCAGAGCTAGAATATTAGTCCCAGTTGAGAGTCAAACTAAAAATAAGGATTATTTCTATATATATATAGCAAATCCGTGTTTAAATATAAACTCTTTCTAGAAAATGGAAAATTTATTAGTGCAATATTCCATAAATGAGAAATTCTACACATTTCTTAAACCATATCTGACAATGTAGGCTTCACCTTGAGTGTATTAGTATCGAGATTATATTTGATCCAGATTTTGGGTGTTACGTGTAGTATTGCTCAGCCTTTTCATTTTGACAGGGTCTTGATAAGTCCTGAAGTTGCTTGGCTGGGTTAGAACTTGTAACACTCTTGCCTGAGCCTCCCAGAGGGCTAGGATTACATGTGTCACCACACCCGCCTGAGACCCATTTTTAGATTCAGAGCCAGTGCTGGCAAATCTAGGCGCACAGTAAATAAACACTCCCTGGGTGTTTGTATTATTACATAAGGGTCTGAGTCAGAGTCATGTGAATGGCTAAAAGGTGACTGAATAAAAAGAAAACTTGTTGAATCTGTCAGGACTAGGACTGCTTAAGTTTTCAAACCTTCGGGGTTCCTGGCCCAATAAAAAGACAGACAGTTACAGGCATGTGAATGAAAAGCCAAGAGTTTAGTTGAAGAAACGTGAAATGGTCCCTAGAATATGACACTCAGACCTTTGGACACTTTCAGTTTGGTGGGTCCAGCTGGTGCTGTCTGAACAACAGGTGAAGAGCGGAAACCCCATTTTCTGAGCGGACTTTAGAGCTAGAAGAGATGGCTGGGCCTCTTTTGGGGGGTGGCTTACCGGGGATCGAACTCCAGACTTTGTGCTTCTGAGGCAGGCGGCAGAACCAGAGCTAAATCCCCAGCCCTGGGCCTCTTTTTTTTTTTTTTTTTTTTTAGAAGAGTAAGTAACAGATCTGTGCAAGTCTTTTGGGAATCTTATATACATTCCATTTGACCCCCTCAGGAAGAAAATTAACACCGAAGGCGATGTCCCACCTTCAATGTCAGGCAGCTGTGCCGTGTGTGTGGACAGAGTGCTGTACTTGTTTGGAGGACACCATTCAAGAGGCAACACAAATAAGGTCAGTGCTTCTAAAGATTATTCTCCGAGGCAACTTTATTCTTACTGTGCTTCAAACAACCCCAGAAAGTTAGGTTACTTCTCTTTCAGTTAAAAAATACATGTACTTTATTAAGGTATGGATGTGCACTGTAATATTTTCCCTGTTAGTCTGTATCTAGGCCTTTTGTAAAACCATCTTCTGTCCTAGTGCTCTGTGCAGATACTTTGTCCCCCTGAATGTTAATATTAGTAAACAAACTTAGAACATCACAGGCAAAACAAAAACAAGATGTAACTGTCGAGGGACGAGTAAGGATGGACAGAACACCACTCTCAAAACCATAAGGACAAATTAACACAGAAAAGAAGTCCAGAGTAATATTCCCATAATATGATAGCTTAAGACCAGTTCGGGTTTTCTCCTTTTTTTTCCAAACAGGAGAACAGGTGTTGGCTGTTCTATTCGTGCCAGTAAGAGAGGTGATGTTTCAGAAAGGTACCTGTGAACTAGGGAGATTCCTTCCTGCCAGCTTATTTATTTGGCTGCTTAGTAAGCACCTTACATGCTCAGTGCTCCGGTGGATGCTGGTGGCAGAGATGAATGCAGTCTCCACCTCTAGGAGCCAATCCGGAGGGGACAAATACGACTGCAGGACTTGCAGAGATACGTGGAGCCTGGCACAGGGTAGCAGCTCAGGATACATGACTGGTTCAGAGTCCTTGATGTTGGGTTTGGCAACGTGAGGGATGCAACAAAAAATGTTCACCCAAGCAGTGATGCGTGTGAATGAATAAGGGAAGTCACAGTGCAGAGACAGAAGCAAGCGTGTCTTGTTCAAGGACATGCCAGGTGGTTTTCTAGAGGGGACATGTGGTTAGGATGGCTTCAAACTGTGCTCCCAGGGACACCTGTAGGGGAGCACATGGTTTGAGGGGGCTCCAGACTGGTGCTTCTGTTCCCAGTTTAACAGGTACTTTGTTTATTTGGTACTGGGGACTAAGCTCGGGTCCTTGCACTTTCGAGGCAAGTGGTGGAACCACTGAGCTAAATCCCCGGCCTATAGCTCTTTTTATATATATTGGGCATTTTTTTTTTTTTTTTGGTACCAGGGATCCGATTTGGGACCTTGTGCTCTCGAGGCAGGCAGTGGCACCACTGAGCTAAATCGCTGGGTCTCTATTGATTGGGCTTTTGCTTGTGATTTTGTTGGAAGAAAGGGCTGTATAGCTAGAAGATTCTGCCTGTGGGTAGGCCATATGTTTTTCAGAATCAAGGAAGAGAAAAATAACTTTTGACATAAGCTGAAGAAGATTGAGAAAGAGGTAAACTGCTTTTAGAGGATGGTCACAGAAACACTAGTATATCAGATGGTGAGGTGCAAAAGTGTTCAAGATTGACCAACTGTATTCCAGAGAACATATATTCAGGATGGGAACCATTTGGAGGACAGACCAGTATTTAACCTTTTAAACAATAATGCATCTTTAGCTCCAAGAATTAAACAGACAATGAAGATGTGTTTGTTAAATTAAACCTGAGAGTAAAACTGGTAAACCTGATGGGTTTTTTTTGGTAACACTGTCCTCATATGCAAAAGTTAAATCAATAAAACTCAAAGTGCCTGTGTAAGGCAAGATAAGGAGCTTGTGCAAGAATGTAAATGAACACACTGCTGATCTTCATCATGAAAGTGTGGCTATAAAAAAATTAACTAACAGTGTTGTTACTGACCTAGGTTATTTACATTTTGTCACAAATTCATAATCTTGACTCAGACCAGGATGGCAGCCATTTGGGGTCACAGTTTTAGCAGCACTGAATTAGAAAGCACCTTGTTATAAGTCAGTAAAATTATATGCTGAAGATGAATTTCTTCCACAAGCAAATCTAACTGAAGTCATTGCTTTGGACAGTTCTACATGCTGGATTCAAGGTGTACAGACAGAGTGTTGCAGTGGGAAAGAATTGATTGCCAAGGAATTCCTCCATCCTCAAAGGACAAACTCGGTGTCTGGGTGTATAAAAACAAGTGAGTTAGAAACAAGTACTGTCAGGCCGGGCATGGTGGCACATGCCTGTAATCCCAGCACTCGGGAGGCTGAGGCAGGAGGATCGCTGTGAGTTCGACTAGCCTGGGCTAGCTACATAGTGAGTTCCAGGTCAGTCTCAACTACATAGTGAGACCCTGAAACAAGAAGTACTTTCAGACATGTATTTGTTTTCCATTCATACCACGTGTCAGAAAAGGAAAATGCCTTGTACCCTAGCCTACAGAGCTTTGTATTTTTATTGTCTTGTTTTTTTCATCCAATAGGCTAATATTTTTTGGAGGGTATGGATATTTACCTGAAGATAAAGCACTGGGAACTTTTGAATTTGATGAAACATCCTTCTGGGTAAGTGGAGTTTCATATTTGCATATGGCCAACTTAGTATGTCCAAGTGATGCATTTTATATTTGCTAATTGTTGTGTTCACTTAATTGGACAGGAGCTATGTAATTTTACAGACTATTGATAAAATGACTCCAATTTTTACTTTTCTGTAGAATTCAAGTCATCCAAGAGGATGGAATGATCATGTACATATTTTAGACACTGAAACATTTACCTGGAGCCAACCTATAACTACTGTGAGTTACTGGAGAATAATGAGTTAATAAAGTAAGGTTGTTTAGAGGAGAAAAAGGATACAGCAGAGTTGGGAGATTTTATAAACCCAACAGTTCATTTTTACTATTTTCTGGAGAGAAGAATCACAGCTTTATTATTCTCCATGGAATCTAGAACCTGATCAGAAAAGTTTAAAGAACATATAAAGACACTAATGTAACAGATGATAAGTAGCAGCTGCTATTGTTTATAATTAAATAATCTATCTCTAAATTAGAATTTAAGTTTCTTTTTAGATTTTTCCTCCTCTGCCAGGTATATAATGTGCTTGTCTTTATTTTAAAAGATAAAAATGAAGCAACCATTTTGTTAAGATTCATCAGCCCCTTCAGTAACATCTCAAACAGAAAACTAAAATTCCCAGCTGTGAAAGTCAGCTTTTAAACTACTATTGTTATCTAGAAGTCTTTACTTCAGCTTTTAGAAGCTCAATTATCTGGTATATTCTTTTTCAATTTCCAGAGAAGGCTGGTATTTTCCCTCTTACAAAAAGTTCACTTATTAAATTGTTTTTATGGCTTTTTAATAGGGTAAAGCACCTTCACCTCGTGCTGCTCATGCTTGTGCAACTGTTGGAAACAAAGGCTTTGTGTTTGGAGGCAGATACAGAGTGAGTAGGTCAACAGTTTCAGCGGATTGCTTTGAAATGTTCAAAATGGTAACTATTTAATTATATTTTTTAGGATGCTAGAATGAATGATCTGCACTGTCTCAATTTGGATACATGGGAATGGAATGAGTTGTAGGTATCACTTTAGATAATTGTTAGAGGGCTTTTAAAATTAGATTTTGTCCCTATTGCCTATTATTACTACGTAATAAATTTAATTGTCTACGTAATAAATTTAATGAACATGTTCACGAGGGTCCCCAAGGTTTTATTTACAATTTCAGTAGCCATGTGTCTGACACAAAATGCTCAATATCTGGTGAAAGGAAATCTAAAGTTGACTCTGCTTTTAAAGAAAATGTAGCATAAGGCGTGTGGGTGTTCATATCAAGAAGCTTCTGTAAAGTCTCTTCCTAATCGCATAGAAGTTTTAGTACTGTTGTTCTGTATATTAAACACAGTAGCTGCTTTTAAATGGAGATATTGTGACTTAGGCTGCTGTTTTCAGAGCTCCCCAAGGCGCATGCCCAGTTGGCCGATCCTGGCACTCACTCACACCAGTTTCTTCAGATCATCTGTTTCTCTTTGGAGGATTTACCACCGAAAAACAGCCACTGAGTGAGTCCTTTAAAATATATATATAAACTAGCTGAAAATATATTTTATTCTTATTTTTTTGGTGTCTCACTATGTAGTTGAGACTGACCTGGAACTCACTGTGTAGCCCAGGCTGGTCTCGAACTCACAGCGATCCTCCTGCCTCAGCCTCCTGAGTGCTGGGATTACAGACGTGTGCCACCACACCCAACAATAAATATATTTTAGATGTATCAGATGTCTACAGGGTTGGTTGGAAGGTTTAGTAATTCTGATCCTATAGCACAATTGTACTGTAACTGTACATATCATAAATCCATTCTGCACAACAGTTAAAAAAAATTACTTGGAGCACTTAAAAGCTCCACTGAAGAGCTTTAGCATGCAGAAGGCTTCGTTGGGTAACTGCAGAGGAATAAAAAGGAAATACAATCTGATTTATTAATCTTTCTAGCTAAAGATGTGTTCTTTAAATATCAATGTCATACTGACAGAATGAATGTATTTGATAGCTTTTCTTTGTCTCAATCAGGTGATGCCTGGACTTACTGCATCAGTAAAAATGAGTGGATACAGTTTAACCATCCCTATGCTGAAAAACCAAGGTATGAACTACCTAAAAGGTAATTCTCAGACTGAATTACTGAGGCCCACTTATGTCTAAGACTGGTAAGAACTGAGGGTGTTTTAGCTGCATCATCTCCATCGTTCTCAAATAATGTTGGTACTCACTAAGCTTTAACACCATTCTTGTCAAAGAAAACCAGTATCTAAGCATCAGATGCTTTCTTTTCATCTGCTGTGGACAAAAGAACAGATCTAGATTTATTATTTTTTCCTTCTTCTGTTGTAGAATTATTCATATAGGTGAAATTTATAATTAATCTCTTTACCTGAGTTGAATTGTATCTAAGTTTGTCACCGAAACCAAAAAACAAGAAGGGAAACCTGGGAGAATTTTAAAATCTTAATGTACAAAAAACAACTGTTGAATGGATTTGCACTAGCGCACTGTATAACAAAATTTAAGAAGTCAAATTATCCCCACCAAGAAAAGCCTATTTAACAGTGATGTTTATTTTTGTTGTAAGTCTCAAAAATAATTGCTAAAGGCAATGATACAATTACAAATAGTGCTGCTCAAAGAACATTTATATGTTAGCCTGCATTTTCCCAAGCTACAAACTCCAGGTTGTGCCAGTAAGACTTCATTTGGCACAAAAGACCTTTCCCAAGAATTAACCGGCTCTGGGACTTAAGTTTGCTAAGGCAGGGCTTTCACACAGCATCCTCAGATTGTTATTCTATATGAGCCAGGGGCCTTCCCAGTGAAAAGAGGAAGGAGAGGGCGGGGATATACTACTCAGATTGCTACAGAGAATAGAACATTCAGTTCAAAACACTCTCGCTACATATATAAGGACAGAGAGTAAATAGTATCCAGATAAAATAAACATTAATTTTATTTTTCACTATGATACTGGGTCTCAACTATCTTAGGCTTTCTAGATTTTATTGTACCAGCTCTGCTCTATAGAGTAAATAAATGACCAGTTTGGTCTTTGGGTGACTTTAAACTGAAGTTTTTGTTTTAAATGTAGGTTGTGGCATACAGCTTGTGCCAGTGATGAAGGAGAAGTAATTGTTTTTGGTGGGTGTGCCAACAACCTGCTGGTCCACCACAGAGCTGTGAGTATACCACTTCATTTTATCATTCACACTTATTCCTGAAGGTCTTGCTTTTTAATGTGCTCTTCATCTCTATTTTCTAGGCACACAGTAATGAAATACTTATATTTTCAGTTCAGCCAAAATCTCTTGTACGGTAAGTAACTAATTCTTCATTTTGCACTAATTAACATAAAACACTAGTTTTATGGATTATTTAAGGGGAATAATGAACCTTCACTGACATGACTAATCAGTTCCATGAAAATCTTTAAAAAGGGTTTTTTTTTTTTTTTTGCTTAAGTTAATGTGCTTCTAAAATAGTAAAGTGAAATTATTTTTCTTTCCTTGTCCACTTTCAGGCTAAGCTTAGAAGCAGTCATTTGCTTTAAAGAAATGTTAGCCAACTCCTGGAACTGCCTTCCTAAACACTTACTTCACAGTGTTAATCAGAGGTTTGGTAGTAACAACACTTCTGGATCTTAAGGCTTCATAAAGAATGCCTCTGATCGCCTTGCATGGACAACAATCCTGTAATCTTCACAGATCATGATCATTTGTATAATATATTATCGTAGTTTGCAACTACTTGGTTTTAATGTGCACGTGTGAATGCCTAGGGAACCTATTTTTGTGTCTATAAAGTTTACAATAAATGTATTTCATATCAGTAACTGTTCTCTATTAAAGCAGAAAAAGTTAATGGTTATTACATCCTTTTTGGTAAGAACTTCAAGCTATAGATCTATAGAAACATACTAAACAATCTTATCCTTATCAAAATAGAAGTTTAAAAAAAACTAAAATTTTATTTTCTTTAAATAGCAAGAGTGGTTGTGATCATGAAGTTTTTTTTTCTTTAAACCTGAATTTCTAATGTAAAACTATTCTCCATAGGACTAAGAATTATGAAGGGACCAAAAGGTATACAAGCTTAATGCTTTGGTGCAGGAGCTAAGGCAAGTGGTTACAATGACTATAAGCAGGTGATTTTTCAATTAAAAAGTAACTGTTTTGTAGATCATAAAGGAATGGAAATAATGTATAATTTTATTCTCCATTCTGATAGGAGACAGAAGAAGAAAGCTGAGTCAGGAGTCTTTAGTGGTTAAGCCTAAAAGTGCACTTCTGATATTCTAGGTTAAGATACTCTATAACATGCTACTAATAACTACTAAAGATGGAAAAGAAAATGGTACAGAACTCAGATTCCAAGGAAAAAATGGAGTGAAGATGTGTAAATGCATGGAAATGATTAGTGCCAGTTTTTTTCTAGGTGTTATTCCTCAAGCTGATTCATGGGAATTATTATTTATTTATATCTGGTCTAATGTATTTTTGACAAGGTTTTCAAGACACAATCCTAAATGTTTAATTGCCCCCACTCCCACAAGAACAAAAAGCCTCTCATGATTGGCTTGTTTTATATATATATATATATATATATATAAATTAGGTGTTATATACAGCAGACTACTATCAGAAGTTT